ACACACACACACATACAAACACACACACACATACATACACAGGAGAACAGGGGTGATGTGGTCACGGGAGCGGGTGTGGGTGAGCAGGCGAGCAGCAGAGTTCTGGATGTACTGGAGTTTATGTAGGATTTTGGATGATGTGCCGTGAAGAATGCTGTTGCAGTAGTCTATTCTTGAGGTGATGAAGGCGTGGATCAGAGTTTCAGCAGCAGATGAGGAGAGTGATGGGCGGAGACGGGCTGTTTTTTAAGTGGAAAAAGGCAGTTCTGGTGATTTGTTTGACGTGGTGTTCAAAGGAGAGGTTGCTGTCAAACATGACTCCAAGGTTGCATACACACACACATACACACATACACACACACATACACACACATACACACATACACATACACACATACACACACATACACACACATACACATACACACATATACACACATACACACACACACATACACACATACATACACACATACACACACATACACACACACACACGTACACACACACACATACACACATGTGTATCAGTGTACATATATATAAATATATAAACATATATATATATATGTATGTTTGTGTGTTGTTGGTTGCGGATCAGGTGCCGATGGGGACGTCGTGGGGAGACATCAGTGAAGGCGTTCGGGTAGAAGTCACCAACACGGACAGCGTTCTGCCCATGAAGGTCTATTGGATCGCTGGCATCATCAAACTGGCCGGTACTGTACGATGACGTCATGTGTTTTAATATTTAATAGACGTCTTCAAGCTTTAATCACTTTTAAAGCTTCACAACTGTTTTAGTTTAAACACGTGACTTAGGGTTCATTCTTTCTTTCTTTCTCTCTCTTTTGATTAATCTGTAGGAAACTAATAGTTTTAAAAATAGTTTTTTTAATGTTTTTTTTAAATAAAAGTTGAAGTGAAGATGACTTTATCTCTGTTTCTGACGAGGATGAGAAAGATGAAGAAGAAGAAGGTTATGATGAAGATGACGATGATGAAGATGATGTGTCCCATGTCTCTCTGCAGGTTTTAAGGCGTTGATGCGTTACGAGGGATTCGACAGCGACCCCACCAGAGACTTCTGGTTGAACCTTTGTGTGCCAGACATCCACCCGGTGGGCTGGTGTGCTGCTGGAGGGAAACCTCTGGTCCCCCCCCACAGTAAGTAGAGCCAGATAAAGGACATTAGAACCAGATAGAGGACAGTAGAACCAGATAGAAGACAGTAGAACCAGATAGAAGAGAAAATAACCAGATAGAGGACAGTAGAACCAGATAGAGGACAGTAGAACCAGATAAAAGAGAAAATAACCAGATAGAGGATAGTAGAACCAGATAGAGGACGGTAGAACCAGATAGAAGACAGTAGAACCAGATAGAGGACAGTAGAAC